CCTCAAGTGGCTCATTAAGAGCCTGGCAGAAGGGCAGCATGTCAGATGTTATTTCTGGTCCACATTAGGCACTGTTCGTATTCTAAATGATCAGATCAAACTCAGTCTGACAGCGAGGGAATCAAGCGTCAGGTGTCATGAAGGTGAGATCAGTAGAGTTTAACCATTCATCCACCTGGCCTTGCTGGAGCCGATCATCAGAGACTCCCACCATCAATCAGACACTGCTGACCTGCTTATGTCAGGAGGCTCCATCTCAGCTCCACGGTGCTGGTGGAGGCACGTCCACAGCCCTTTGGCCCCTCTGGTTTGGGATGGGTCCTCTCTGCAGGTGGAGGAGCTGCTCTCTGCTCCTTGCCTTCCTCCCAGCATTCACAGCCTTGGCCAGGAGGTGCTGGAGGGGAAGAGCTGCCTAAAGCTTGGGCTGATGCTGAGCATCTTGTTATCTTCCTCTTTCTTCTCCTTTTTGAAGACAACCCCCTTTTCTTCAGCACCAGGAAGATTTCTTGTCCAAGGGTCAGCTTTCTATTGACACCTTGCGTTCCCCTCTCCCTTCCTTTTCATGTTACACTTCTTGTTGCTCATATTCTGATCTGCCTCACTGGAAAAAGTCCCTCGCCGTGCTTTGTGCTTCTCCACAGCAGGACTCACTAAGCACATCATCTCCCAGCGCCAGGTCCCAGAGGGCTTCTGCTTTAGAGTGAAAAATACTGTTGTCTAGGCACCACAAACCCATGAAGTTGCCTCAAGCCCTTCTATACAGCTGAGGGTAATTTCATAAGTGATTCTGGATTTTGCATCTTGGGGGTTTACCCCTCCTCATGAGCTGCTCTTAATCTGCAGTATTTATCAGAAGCAGCTCTGAGAGCTGCGCTTTCATTTCCTGGCTAGGAGGGGTCACAGCTAGCAGTTCTAGGACACTCACCATGACAATGGCCAGACCCATGTGCTGAACTGGTTCACGGACTGGTGTGTAGCTGGAGGGCTTCGAGTGCTCCTGGCCCTGGATGTATCTGCTCCTGTGCTGCGGGCATCTCCCTGTCACCAGGGAGAGGCAGCGTTCCGCTGCAGGCTGCCCAGAGGCACCGTTGCTGCAGATGAGCTGGATTGGTTTCATCCTGAGGCAGATGCCCAAGTTAGCAGCTGCTGGAGATGTTGAGCAGGTGGGTCACCTGTCAGGGCTCCCCAATACTTGTTAAGGTGCCTCGGCTGAGAGGAACAAGGGTTGCACTGGTGGGACTGGAGATGGGCAATGCTCTGCAGGGGCAAGCGCGCGCCTTCGTCCCCTCCAGCCCTGCTTTGGTCTTCCACGTGGACGGTGCCGAGGTGGCCTTTGGGGTCCCCCTTGGGGTCCCAGGAGCAGGCAGAGGGGGGTCTGGGGAGGGGTGACGGCGCTGCTGCTCATCGGTCCCTGCTTGGGGCAGCTCGCCTGGGCAGAGCCTTGTTCTTGCATGTGGCTGCAGGAAGGACGAGTCAGGTGGGATCTCTTGGGGGTTGTGCGGAGCAGAGCCTCCAATCCAGAAATGGAAACCAGCCTTAAAGTATAAGCTGCAAAGCCAGAGACAAATCCTCGTTTGGGAGCATGTTGTTAAAGGCCCTGAGTTCCCAGCTGGGAATGGGAGCACCCACAGTGCTGTGAAAGATGTTTGCCCCCTGGAACACGTGCAGATAGACGTGGTGACAGGCAGGCACGGTTCCAGCGTGTCCCTCCATGGGGCACTGGAAGCGTGAACAGAGTTACCGTGAGCACCTGCTGCGATTTGAAACAAGGAATGTAGTCTGAGTCACTGGGAGTGTTTGAGAGTGTCAAACCATACACTTTTTACTGGCACGTGTTGGCCAAACTATCAACTCAGTTCTGTCAGTAAGGTGAGCTGCTGAACTGCTTTGCTGAACCATTTGCCGCATTGGTCCTCAGATGGTTTGCGTGTAGAAGCTGCTGGGGAGGTGATCATGCCGTTGGTAAGTGCCACGTCGGTTACAGCCTTGTTTCAGCACAGCTGCTGCCTTTTTAGCGTTTACCTTTTAGGTGTTTCAGCACCAGGGAATGCCGGTGGCACAGCAGGGAGCTGAACCTTGTCACCGGCGTGTGCTGTGTATTGATTACAAATGCCCAAAGCTGCCTTCCCCAGAGCACCGATCGCTGCTGCTTCGGTGCTCCTCGGGGTTCAATGGGCTGTTCAGCCGTGAGTTGCTCAGCGGGTCTTTCCATGCTGCCCCGCGTGTGTGGGGTGTCCCGTGCCAGACTCCGTGGGTGACCCCGCACGGCGCTGGGCTCTGTCGGGGTTAGGGCGCAGCAGGCTCCGGGCTCTATCCCTGCTCCTGCCTTACGCGCTTGGAGAAAGCCTCGGGCACTGCTGCTTGCTTGTGCTGGCCTGGAGCTGCGGGTGGTGTCAGGGGAAATATTCCGGGTTAGCACCTGGTGGAGCTGCAGAAGTTCTTGCTTTGGCCCTCTGGGTGAGGGAGGCCCAGTCTGCACTGTGGGTGCTTTCGGGAGGGCACGGGCGGCTCTGCACTGGCTTGTTGCTCTCCGGATCTGCCCCTTTGTGTCTCAGGCTCACCTTTTTGCAGAGTCTCTGTGTCTCTTCCTTTCCTACTGTGATTTTTACCTCCCTACGAGGCTTTCACCCATGTCCTCTCCATTTCTCCTTGCAACCAGTTGCCAGCTGCCTGTGCTGCTGCTACACCAGCGTCATCCCTAGGCAGCCTCATATGCTGACCTGCTCCACTCTGGTTTGGGAGCTGCTGGGTCAGACCCGTTACTGAATTCACACCAGCAGTGCCCAGCCGGGGGCCGCATCCTGCCGAGGAGCTGCTCGTGCAGGCTTCCCTCCCTCCCACTGCGGGTCCACAATCAAAGTTACGTTATTTTCTAGGTTCAGCACTCCAGTACCTACATTTTGCACCAAAACCCAACCACCAAAGGAGGAAGGAGCCTGGTCGGAGCGCTCGGTGTCTGCCGGGAGCAGCTGCGGGGATGGAGGTGTGGAGGAGCCAGCCAAAGTCGCCGGAGCCTCAGGGGATCCTGCCCAAGAGCCAGGAGATGCAGATGACTCCCTGGAAACAAAGGTAGATTTTCTCATACACCTACTGCTTGCGTTGCCTCCCCCAGCTTGCCACCAAAAAGCCGTGCTTGTGCCAACCCCCCTTTTTGTTGCCCTGCTGTCATGTGCCCTGGCGGTGGGCTGGGCAGGCAGCAGGGCCAGCAGGTGGACACGGGGCTTCTGGGGAGGGAGAAATCAGATAGTTTTGCTTGGAAGAAGCCCACTGGGATCCTACAGACCTATGCTGAGTTTGGGGTTTTTTGGCTTGTTTTGACACTGTAAAATGAGGCTTTTATCCGCATCAGGATGTGAAAGCTTCCAGTTTCCTTCCTGTACCAAGGTGTGCCAAGTACTGTGATCTTCAGGTACCGCCTTCTCACCCCCGAGATCTGCAGTGTTGCAGGGACGGCCACAGAGCTGTCTTTGATAAAAGGAGACTTTGCAAAGTCACTGTCTCTAGCTCATGGCATGGAAAATGGCCTTTGGTCTGCTGACCTTCCTGGTGAACCTTGGTGCTTTGGAGCTTGATGTCCGTGCTAGTTAGACCTGGTGCCTTGTTCTGCATTGTGCTGGACAGAGGCTGCTCCTGGGGCAATAAAGAAGGATGCAGGAAAGCATGGGAAGTTCTGAAAGCCCTGGCATTGGCATTAAGTTCAAGGAGAGGGGTTGCACCTGCTCACACCCAAATATCGGTCACTAACATTATAACAGCACATTCTTCCTGAATCATGAGAAATGATACCCCGTAGACATCAAGAATAGTGTGGCTGAATGTTTTTGGACAGAAGCATGGAATCATCTTAATTTCCTGCTTTGTTGCCATGTATGCAGAAATAAACCAGAGGAATTCTAGTAGATGTGGCTAAGTAGGATCCCAAAGTGCTTCAAAGGATTTGTCTGGATTGCAGCTTCATCTTCTGCTTGTGTCACTGTATCAAGGCAATATCCACGTAACCTCCCTGGGAAGGTGGGAGACCATAGGCCTAGGAAGGGTGTGGATAAGAATCTTTGGGAATAGGCGCTTGGCAAAGCTTTGCTAGGCTTGAAAATGTGGACTCGAGAGAAGGAGCATTGAATCGTCTGATTCTGAGCTTCATCTACCGGGTAGATGTAACCTCTGATTAGGTGTAAAGATGTCCCAGATATATTCTTGCAGATTCTGCTGATGCCAAGGCCCCAGCACAAAGCACTTCTTCATGTTACTGAAGAAGCAGGTATCACTACATTGCACAAGCACTCACAAAGGCCTCGCTTATTAAATAGGGGACAGAAGGCCAGGGACGAGGTTCCTTTTGAAAGATGGCACCTCTGAGGTCAAACACCAGCTCAGCTGCTGGTAGACAGAAGAACATCTCGGCTGTCTTCTTCAGGAAGGTGTCGTTCAAGAGAGTGACCTGGTGGAGATCCTCAGCTCTCCAGCACTGATGAGTGCACGAGATGAAACCTAAGCACTCTCTGAAAGTGGAGAGTTGTGCCAAGTCCTTATTTTGCTGGTTTTGATACTCCTCACTTGCAGCTGTGTTCCTGTTTTTGTCATGAAGCACCTAACCTGTCAAGACATGGGGTTCTGGGCACGTTCCCTGGGCAGGAGTGATCAAAGCTGGTCTGGCACAAGGGTACAAATGCCCTTGAGGTCTCTGCCAGGGCTGGGTGCACTCAGCTTTCCCATGCACGCTTGCACATAGGAAGTGGAGGCAGAGCCTGTGTCTCACCTGCGGGTGGGGTTGGACCCACTCAACGGTTGGCATGGACGTACCCGTACTTGATTTGCACCCAGGTCCCATCTCAGCTGCTCCTGGCTGGGTGAGGTGGTGGAGCCTGCAGCAGAGAGGTCTCACCCAGACCAGCCAGCTGCTCACTGCAGCCCATGGTGCTTGTTTTGCAGGTGCTGCCATCCCCTGCCGAGGAGCCGGAAGGGGCTGTGGAGGATCTGGTGCCTCCCCAGAGCCTGGTGGGGATCAACAGACTGATGCAGTTTGTGGAGGCAGAGCCTGTCAGCTTGGGAATGGAGGAGGTAAGTGGGAATCCGTCTTGTGCCACGATTCCAGTGTGGCAAGCAGTTCTGTAGCCCCCCCCTCCCACTGGTCGCCCTCGATGCTGTTTGCAGAGTGCCTCACGTCCCTCCAGGCCCATCGCACAGCGCTGCTGAAGCAGCTGGTCACTGGAGAGGCCACGCAGGACATGTCGTAGGGCTGACCTGTGCAGCAGCTCTGCAGGGCATTATTCATCTTGTTGCTAATCACGTGGCCAACAGGAAATTTCTGCAGTAGCTTTTGCTGTAGCAGCTTGAGAGAGTGCAACATGTGAATCGGAGAGAGGGAAAAGCTTCAGGAGTCAGATGAGCGGGGCTGGAGTCCTCCCCCCAGTTCTAAGGGCTTTCACCTCCGAGTGCTGTGTTTCTCTTAAGGCAGTAAAAGGTGCTTTACAAGGCAAGTTCTGCAGCAAAGAGAATTCCTTGCTGCCAGGAGATAGCCCAAATTACTGGCAAGTGGAATGGGTACAGGACATTTACCTGTGTTTGAAGAAGAGCCCCCTCCAGCCATGTCTACGTTGATCCAAGACGTGGCTGCTCTTCTGCATCGATTTCCACGCTCAACATCTTGATCTCTCCTCGCCTACCTCCAGGTTTTCGATGTCCTGCTGCTCTATGGTGTGCTGCAGCCAGGCGAGAGCCAGCAGGTCACGTTCACCTTCTTTGGCCACACAAATATCGCCGCCCGTGTCACGGCGCTGTGCAAGGTGGAGGGAGTCCCGACCTACGAGATCGCGCTGAGCGGGGAGGCTTCGCTCATCAACTAAGTCCTAGACGTCACGGAGATCGACTGCGGGCTGCAGGTACCGCAGCTTCACTTGGCAGAGGTCCTTGTCGTGAAACTATCACCGGCGGGTTGCTGCCCTCCTAGGGCTGGGGCGCTCTCCCCTTCCCAACTACTTTTTTGGCTCTATGGCTTGGAAGTACAACTTTGGAGTGATACGTCCTGCATCCAAGCTGGTTCTTAATGGCCATCTCCACCCCCCTCCAGCTGAGAATTCCTCCTTCTCAAGGTAACTAATGCTGCCTCCTGGGGCAGGCAGGGTCCCAGTGGTGATCTCCAGGGGGACGTGCCCCAAGATGTCCATCTGCTGATCCGCTCCTAAAGCCTGAGGTCCCAGGAGGCGCTCTCTTTTGATGGTCTTGATTAATCATCAGAATAAACCAGGGAGGAATCTAACTGGGGCTTCCCAGTCAGTGTAGCTGGAGAGAATGTCCTAGAATAATCCCCACTTCTTTCAGTTAAAAACCCCACAGGTATTTCCAGCTCTTGGCCCTGTTTGTGTTGCCCTGTCTGCCATTTTGCTGTTGCTGCAGGTGCTTTTTCTTCTGCAATGTCTTGATGCCACCTCCTTTGTTCCAGCTGGGTGTGAGGTGCAGAGAGCTTGTCTTCTCTTTGCTTTCCTTATGACTGATCTCTGTGTTTGGCATTGCCCCTCTGCATGCCGCCATCAGTGTCTGTTCCTGTGTAGGGCTGAGGGGCGCCCTGTGGCGGTGGCTTCCCCAGGTTAGCTGGGGAGACTCAAGTGCCCATACCTCCTCTGCCTTTGCTTTTCTCCTGTGCCGAGTTCACTTGCTCACATCCCAGTGAAAGCAGAAGGAGGTTCACAGTATCAGGCCTGTGCCTTCAGCTTCCCACTCCTCTGTCCTCTCTTCAGCTGTTTAACAAAGTCATCGAAGCAGAGGTCACCCTGCGGAACAGCGGGAAGATGGGATTCACCTACAAGGTGCTGAAGCTCAGCGCGGGCACCGCAGACAGGACCCTGCCCGGCGTGCCCCTGGTCCTGCCCAGCACGGTGAGTGACTGACCCTGGCTCTGGGCCAGGCTGCCCAGGAGGGGGTTGTAGGGGGAAAAAAACTAAAATTAAAAAAACCCAACACACAAAATAATACAGGAGAGATAGGGCTGTAAGCAGCTGCTGCCAGGGGGCAGGAGGGTCCAGCAAGCGTGGTCCTAATGGCCTCCCTTCGTGGCCTTTGCCGGCAGGTGACCGTCACACAGCAGCCAGGTGTGTGTCACACAGCAGCCACCGGCCAGAGGCACCAGCGCTTCGGGGACTCTGGGGACCCCGACTGCTGAGCGCTCCGGCTGTGCGGGTACCGGGGCCGGGCTGTGCCAGCTCTCCTGGGGGTCACTGTGCCCAGGCTGTGTGATCGGACAGGGCTTAGTCCTTGTCCCTGCCTGTAGCAAACCCTGGCAGGCCCCTGCCACACAGCTTGCCCTAATCAGGTGCTCTCACTTGGGCATGAATCTGCTTTGGCAGAAATTGTAGCAGCCCCTGTTCTGGTCCCCCGCTCCCTCAGCTTTGCTGCTCTGCAGCAGCTCTGTGGAGCAGTGAGGGGGCCAGGCAGGGGCAGGGCTTGAACAGTGAGGAGTTCGCAGCATCCCGCCATCCCAACTGCTGAGTCCTGCATGGCTGTCTTTGGGCTGGAGCAGCATTCCTGTCTAGTCCCTTTATTCAGTGGGAAGAGGAAGCCAAACGGCTTTCACATTTCTTCATGCCTGTCTCCTACAAGGGGTGACACACTGATGTCCTCTTCCTGCCAGCTTCCCAAGACCAAGCTCTGCTTGGCCCCGCACAGTCGGTCGCTGTAACCGGCACTGGCCGCTTGGCAGGGCTGGCTTGCGCTGCAGCTGTGTTTTGCGCTGCACCAGGGGCTCAGGGCACCAAGTGGCAGGATCTGTCCTCTTACAGAGGTGTCTGGGCTTTAAGGAGAGGGACTCGAAAGTAGCTGGGAGGGAGTTGGGGCGGGTAGCTGGAGGTGGGGGTAGCTGGAGGTGACTGGGAGCACTGGGCAGGTGCTGTGCAGACCCTGACAGGTGACCTGGACACTTGGGTGGTCCTCCAGCCCTGGGGGTGGGGAACAGCGCTGCCACCATCACCTGGGTGCTGTGGAGTGAGAACCCCAAACCCACTTTTCACCCTGAAATCATCCATGGCCCCAGGATACATGTTTCACCATCAAATCCCCCAATTTTGCCACAGAATTTCCGCATTTGACTCCCACATCTCCCACTTTTGATCCCAGAATTTCCCAGTTCGACACCAAATCAGCCTCAGCACCCCCAAAAATTCTACTTTACATCCCAAAATCTATCTTGAATCTCAAAATGCCACAGTTTTACCCCAAAATCTGCACCAGCACCCCCAAAAGCTCCCCACTTTCACCCCTAAATTCTCTTTGGACCACAGAATTCCCCAGTTTGACCCCAGAATGTTCCAACAACTAACCAGTGCCCAGTCAAAACCAGCCCAGCTCCCCAGTACAGGAGAGGATTTTGGTGGTGGGACAGATGGCGATGTGCCAGCTTGGCACATGAGTGCCTTTTCGTGCCCTGAGGTATCTCGGGAGGGGCAGGATGGGCTAAAGCTTCCCTCCTCCTCTGGGCTGGGTGCGGGTGTGCGGTCCTGGGGGCATCAGCAGAGGCCGGGGGGGACCCTGCTCAGCACATTCGGAGTGGTCCCCATGGGAAGGATGCTACGG